GACGTCGAACGGTGCACACTCAGTAAGTAATCCTACAATTTTTTGTTTATAGCATAGTTTATATGGATTATTCCCAAAAAATTATACGTATTTTGGAAATGTTAAGTCGAATTAGTCTAGAATCGATTAATTTTATGGAAGAAAACCTTTGAAACAGCTGTAGTCCATAAACTTCACACGTGTCGGGCTGCGATTGGGTCATGTATTTAAGGATTCCTACAACGCAAAATTCGTATAACGAGGAACGTATCTACGCGTTATAGGGGGGTCTACTGTATAGTATTAACTACTTTAATATTAAATATACCATATTTACTTGCATACAAGACAAGGTTTTTATTCATTTTTCACTGCTTCAAAAACCTAAACCTCGTCCTATACGTGCAAGCAAAGGATGTTTTGTTTTTGCAATAATTTTTGTGAACCGTGTATTTGCATTTTTACCAAATGCTCACCCTCTGGTGTTTAAAAACAAGTATTTTATCTGGGTTGTTTGAATCATTCTTGTGTATTTTCAAGAGTAAAGATGAATAGCAATAGAATAAGCAAAGCTTTTGAATTAAATTCCAAAATAACACACGAGCCCAGTATAAGTTTTAATCCATTCCCACGTGAAAACAGATGATTTTTTGGAAATCAGAATTCAGAGAAACTCATAAATATAAGAACTGTTAAGAACTGGCAAAAAGGTTTGCGATCGTCCAGCTTTACATGAACAAATTATGTTATTGATTTTACAAGATTTTTCCTTAAAGTTTAAAATGCCAGTAATTATAGCAGGACAATGTGTGCACTTATGTGCATTTGATATTTGTGATTAAACAAAATAAAATTAGAATTGTATTAATAAATCTGATTTTCTTTATTTTGATCTTTAAAGTCACACCTCATCCTATATTCAAGATTGTCTTATATGTGAGTAAATATGGTATACATACATATATATTGTTGCATATAAGAAATAAATTATTAAATACTGCAAATTATTTATATTGTGGGAATGGTTTGAGAAATTGTTATAAATGATAAATTATTACATAGTTTTTTGCTTGTAGCATGTAATAACATATCTTCTAAGAAATAAATATATCATGGTTGAAAAAGAAAGCTCAAAAATCACCATGCATTTTATATGTGAAGCTGTGATCTCCCACAGGTTATTGAATTCCCTGAATGTCCTTCAGTAGGCTATAGGTTAACTGTACCTAACTCAACTCTATGCAATAACATTTTTATTCAAACCATCTTATTATTTTTTTACAAATTATAAAAACGTCACAAATGTTTTTGCTATCCTTCCATCTTTTTCTTCAGCTGGATCCTATTGTATCTGAAAACAAAATCACAGATCCTCCATTTTTATTATATTTTTAACTTCCTTATGTCATATTTTGTAAAATGACAAAATTTAATCAGAATTGATCAATCAAATTTTTGGAACTAACTCAGTTCTATAAGCCACTTAGACAAGGCTTCACTAAACTCCATTTCAAATGTCAATGTTTCTCAAAGTATAGTTCATGGACAAATGGTGATTCACAAGCATTTGCTAGATGTTCTATGAACTGACCTAATCATTTTTCTAAATTGCAGTTATATTCTGTTTATCCAGTAGAAAAATTATTTTTATGTGCCACTTATCTATCATATTAGATTATTGACTAGACAAACTATTTTGGCATGTAACTAAGGCAATGTTTACTGGATAAAGAAATTGACAAAGGCATAGTTGGTGTGTAGTTCATTTGTGACTTGGTTTAAGTTGTCTGCAACTATATAATTTTGAAAACATATCTAATTTATTTACTTAATAGTAAATTAGATATTTTAGCTAGTTATTTTGAACATAAGCCAAATATTGCTCAATTTCTATAGCTGTAATTTTATGACAATTTCAAAATTACAGCCCAAGGAATCCAGCATTATTTGGTTTAAGTTTAGATGCACCTTGGATTATGTTCATATATAAGATACTATGTAAGTCTTTTAATAAAAATTTATTATTAGGCATTGATCTTGTCTCAATAAAACCAATTCCTAATGTGACTACTCATCAAGAAGACATTACTTCTGATAAATGCAAACATGTAAGATATGTTTAAAATATTATATTCTGAGATTATTTAAAATTATTTTTAATGGAAATTATTGTCTGAATTATTAGCTTTTAAAAACTGAATTGAAAACATGGAAAGCAGATGTAATACTTCACGATGGAGCCCCTAATGTTGGAAAAAGTTGGATTCATGATGCTTTCTCTCAAAGTAAATATATTTAATTTTTTTTTCAATATTTATAATAATAATTTAAATTTTTTATGTTCCTTTTTTATTGTTTAATTCTAATATATTTGTTTTTCAGATCAGTTAACTTTGAGTGCACTAAAACTTGCTTCAGAATTTTTAACTAAAGGTGGCTGGTTTATAACAAAAGTATTTCGTTCTAAAGATTATCATGCACTGTTATGGGTGTTCAAATTACTTTTTAAAAGGGTATGTCTTTAAAATTGATGAAATTATTTGTAAATAAGCTTTAAATTGTCAGAGATTGCAGTTTTATTGACAGTTGTAGTCAGGCTTCAGTGGTTGGCCTTTACAAACCCTGTTAGACAAATCAGGATAACTTATGCCTTGTTGAAAGCCAGTGTTAAATGGATTTGGAATGGACCATGGTAATTCTATGTTATTATCAACAATACATTTATTTAAAGTAAAAATTATTAAAGGATTTACATCAAGCATTTCTTTGCACCTAAACATACTTTCATGCTTAACAATTTGGACTTGTGAAGAGAGAATGACAAATTGCCTCACTTGTGTATCGTGGTCTACCAATAAGTAATTTTCACAATAAGGATTTTGGTTAGGGCTGACAATTGTTATATATTTATCAACTTTCATTACAACTACAAATTTCCTTTTGCCCTCAACTCAGATGATGTAAAGCTTTCAATCTCAACTTTTTGTATGGGTTGAGTTTCATGAAATTAAACCAACTAAAGTGAAATTCTTCTGATTGTATGGCCAATTAAAATTTAGGTGATTAGTTCTTAGTTTGTTTGGAAGAGAGATTATACATTGATGTTGTCTTGCGAGAAAATCTTGAAGATGACGAAAAATGTCATCCAAGAGAATGTTTAGATGAGACATCAGAATTAAATAATAAATGAAGTAGTAGCTTGATTAAGAATTTCAGATCCTCACAATTGCAAATGACAAATTAAGTTTAACTATTTAAATCAGATTAAATGGCTGAAGTGGTTACAACATTAAACTATTTTTCTGGAGACCTGGGATTGAATCCAGCAACCAAAAAGATCCCCGAAATTTTTTGGGATGATCTGTCCGTAATATGTCATGTCCCTTACCACCTGATTGCCCCATTGTGGGTTTGGCTAAAAGTCCTATTGTGGGATTTGAAAAAAGCCCTCTTAGTAGTCACAGGATAGAAAGAGTATTAAAAAAAATTTTAATTGCTATGAGAATGTTTGTTTTAAATTAGAAATGTTATATTTGTATGTTATTGAATCTTAATTTTTTTTCTGATGTATTAGATAGTTATTATTATTTTTATTTTATCTTCTGCACAAGGTAACTATCATGATAGATTATAATTGTTTTATGTAAGACAAGATAAATATAACTAAGCATCATCATAATAATTTCAAATAAATATATAATTAAGGAATTGAATAATACATACAAATTTATTAATTACAATATAGAGTAGAGTCCCATACAATGTGGGGTATTCATTGCACATTATAGAAAATCACATTATCAAAACCTGCATTATCACACAATTTATGAAAGTTTATACCTTGCCTATAAGTTGAAAAAAATGTATACCTCTGACTAGCAAAATTTGAGGGTGTTGCTTGATTTATTTGCGTGTTGTATGGGACTCTACTGTATTTTATTTTCAAGTAAAAGCAAAAAATCTAAACTACTAAAGACAGCAGAATATTTTCATTTATCAAAGAGAGAAATTTAATAATTCAAATATAAAAAATACATATTTACAGTTAGTTTAATATTAAAGGAAAATGTTTCTAGAAACTCCAAAATGTACTGATACAGTTTATAATTATATAAGATGTCCTATAAATTTGGATCCATAACAGTTATGTTGATCTTTGTTTATTCTTCTATAAGTAAAGCATGGTGCTGAGTAAGAAGAATCAAATTCCAGTTATTTTGATAGTGGGGATGCAGACTCATGTAAAGTTGCTGAGTAGTTTAACATGCTGCATTCAGACTTCTCATCAATTACACACATCAGTCTGTATGCAGCCTATTAAAATCTTTAGGTGACTTCTCACTAATTGCAGGTTTTCACCTTAAAAATAACTTGAACTTATTCTTTCTTAATTAGTGTTTTGTTTTACTATAAAACTTTGTAACAAATGTCAACGTCACTCCTATGGTTTTAGACTTTTGAGACATCTTTTATTTATATCTACAGTAATATATTGAATTTATAAAATAATAATTAAATACAACCAATCCAATAATTACTTCAAGTATCTAATAAACAAATCTTAGTCTGGAAATGATGATCAGATAGAGGTCCAGATAGCATAACTGGTAACGTATCAGCATGGTAAGTAGTGAGTCCCACTCCAAGCCAGTCTCTTCTTACAGAATATTTTAAAATTAAATTAAATTTAATAATTATAAATATAAGAATAAATGCTATCTCTTGCCAAATTACTTAGTAATTATTCATCCTTAATAGCTCAATAAAGGAATCCAGCTGTTCATTTGAAAATAATAATTAGAAAATAAAAATATATTAATATATTTATCAGTGATTTTATGACTGTAATACTTACTTAATTCTAAAGAAAACTGATAAAATGTTGTATATAATTGCTTATATTTTGACTTTTATAAAAGCGTTATTCTATTCTGATTAGTTAAAATTCACATTACAGGTTCATGCCACCAAGCCACAAGCATCTCGTCATGAATCAGCAGAGATTTTTGTTGTGTGTGAAAACTATATTGCTCCTGCAAAAATTGATCCAAAGTTTTTCAATCCTAAATATTTATTTGAAGAAGTTGAAGCAGAACCTAAAGCTTTTCTAAATGTTCTCCATCCTGAAAAACAAAATAAAAAAGCAGAAGGTTATCCAGAAGGAGATTATACACTTTATAATAAATTGAAAGCATCAGAATTTATCAAATCGAATAATCATATAGAACTTTTAGGAAAATATAATGAGGTAACCATTTTATGGTTTACTATGCAATTTTATATTTATGAAGCAATGCAGAATTTCTCAAACTTGAAATAGTTAAGGATTATTTTTCTCAGTTTTTTTATTTTGTATACATAATTGAAAAATCTAATCACATAAAAAAAAAATAAGAAAAATCCTGTGAGCTGCAAGTGATATCATACACAGATCCACATAGAAGAGGAGCTGGAAATGTTTTCCCGGACCTAGAGAAAACAGATACTCATAGTGGTTCCTACTAATAAATTAATATTAATTTTTACTAACAAAAAATAAAATCTCTGCCTGCTAATTATTAATAAAAAAACATTCTACATATTTCATTTGTTCAAAAAGAAAAGGCAAAATGAGATGGTCAAATGGTTGAGCAGTTAAAGCAATAGTCTACCACTCTGCTTGCATAGGATTGAATCCAGAAGGGTTGAAAATTTTCAAACCCCAGGAAGTTTTTAGGGGTGGTCTATCTGGAATACATCTGGCCTCATCCCTCACCATCCAGCTACTCTATTGTGGGCTTAGCTGGACCCATAATGGGCTTGCTACAAAAAGATTTTCTTAGTGCCCACAGGGTGGGAAATGTTTTAAAAAGAGAATTTGTTACGGGCCAAAAGGATTCTGCTCTACCCCAGCCCATACCAAGTTTTTGACAGCCCTGATCATATAACACATATTATTGTCACTACATCAGTACACTATCAAGAAACATCTTTAAGATGGAATTTTAAGCTAATATTCTTGAAACTGGGATGGTCAAGATGGCTGAGACATGTACAGTACTTGTCACTGAGGAACTTGGAACTTGTTAGGATTGGATTCTTGGTGAATTTTCATAAATGTAATTAGTGCTTTTGAGGTGAAAAGAGCAAAGACTAAGAAAATAATAACAATCTTTTTGTAATTATTGGACAGTATTAAAGTGCTTTATAGACATCTTAATCTTCCAAACATTTTCTATATTTGTTTAAAAGCCTATTTCAGATCATGATCCACAGTTTGGGAAAATCTGCTTTATGTGAATAATAAACACTGAATTCTATTGTAAAATATATTTTTAAAATTTGTTTTTTATTTAAAAGATTATTTTTGATGATCCAAAAATTGAAAATCATCCATTATCGACAAGTGAGGTCAAAGAGTGTTGTAAAGATATTAAAGTATTAGGGAAAGGTGATTTAAAGTGAGTAATTTTCCTATTAATATATTACAGTCGACCCCCCTATAACGTACGTTCCTATAACGACAATTCCTAGAACGTAGCAACTTTCGTATAACGTACCTCCTATAACGTCGTTTCGCGACAAGATTGATAGAGTCTGGACCAATAGTGGACGAGCAGCCGAACTACTTTCCTCCGACCCTGCGCCACGCTACGGAGCGGCTAAATTGAGTTTGCTATCGTCTGTTTAGTATTATATATAAATTATATATAAATTAGGTACTGTACATATAATTATATATTAATTATATATAAATTAGGTACTGTATATATAATTATATATTAACTTAATTTATTGTAACTTTATTATAATTATATATATGCTTTCTGCCGCCTGGCAACACGCTACGGAGATTTTAGGCTAGTAAGTTGAGTTTATTATCGTCTGCACAGTATGTAAATTAGGTACCGTAAGTCTAATACAGCACTAATTTTATACATTTCTTGTGAAAGAAACACTTCTTATTCAACGTCCATAAAAATTATTTATATTAATGATGTCTCCAAAGGTCAAGTTATTTTTCCGCCAAAAATTCGTTATCAGAAATTGCGGCCGTCGTTTCGCGTGCTGTTCCGCGATGAAAACCAGCTTTAAGCAACGGCGTAGTCGAACGGTGTAAGTAATCCTACAATTTTTTGTTTATAGCATAGTTTATACAGATTATTCCCAAAAAATTATACGTATTTTGGAAATGTTGAGTGGAATTAGTCTAGAATCGGTTAATTTTATAGAAGAAAACCTTTCGAACAGCCTTAGTCCGTAAAGTTCCCACCTATCGGGCTGCGATTGGCTCATTCCTACAACGTAATTTTCGGTTAGCGTGGAACGTATCTAAGCGTTATAGGGGGGTCTACTGTAGTTATGATAATAAATGTGATGCTAATGATGATGATTTTTTTTCTATTAAAGACTACTATTAAATTGGAGAAAAAAGATGAAAGAGTATTTAGAAAAAGAAGAGAAGGAATTAGTAGAGTAAGCTTCATTATAATTAGCTGTTATTTTTTCATTGGTTCATTTTATGAATATAATTGCATTATTTTAAAGAGAATTACAAGAAAAAGAAGAAATTCCAAATGCAGATGAGGAAATTTTAGAAGAGACCATTAAACTTCAAAAAGAACAAGAAAGTGAATTGAAAAGGAAGAAGAAAAATATACTTAAACAGAAAAGAAAATTAAATGAAAGAATTAATTTGAAAATGGTCATTAAAAATGATGAACCACTTGTACAAGAAGATATTGAATTATTTCGACTCAACAAAATTAAAAAAAAAGATGTATGCATTAAGGAAATGTCATAAAATCTAAAAATTATTTTTACTTATTTATGAATTTATGATATATAGTTAATATATATATATATATAATACATGTATATGAAGAACATGTCATTAAATGATAAAAATTAATTTTAATTCACAGGACTTGGATAAACTTGAAGAGAATGATCCTTCTATATTAGCAGATGATCCTGATAATGAGAAAAAAGATAGATTGAAAAGAAAATGGTCTGTATATAGTCGAGATGAAAAACCAACTGATTGGATAGAAAATGAAATAGTAGATGATGAAGGATCTGTTGTTAGGTAATTTTATATATTTATTTGTAATTTTGTAAGTTTGCAATTTAACTAAACACAATTCATACAGCTTAGAAGAAGAAAGCAATGAAGAAATTGAAGAAAATAATCCTCTTCTATTGGATTTAGAAGATAAAAAGAAAAATGCTGCTGAAAGATGGTTTGAAAAGGATATATTCACAGGTCTAGAGACGGATGATGACGATGATGAATTGGAACTTGAATTTATTTCTGATAAAACTAAAAAGACAGGTTTGTGTGTAAATCAGGTTTTTTCTGTTTAGTTAATTTACTATTTTTATTAAGTGCAATTTGCAATTCTGTTAATTTAACAGCTATTGAACACCCCAAATATAACAATTCCCTATTAACATTAACACTTATTTTCTAGGCACCAGATCTTCAATATGTGTTGAGACTTGAGTTTCAATGAATAAATTATGGAATATTCAGTTTCAAATTATTAAATATTAAAATTTGACATATTGTTTTAATTTTTTCAGTTCAATTATACATAATTAATTAATTTACTGAGAATTCTTGATGTAATCAAAAATTACAATTGAGTAAGTAGTATGATAAAAATCACTTTAACATGACTAATAATTGCTCATAAATGTTTTTGAAGTCTTTTGCTCCTTCTTCAGATTGTTACATTGTAAAGTTTCATTCTAGTCATATGGCCAAATGGTTAAAATATCAGCCAACCATTCTGGGGGACCCAGGAATGAATCCAGACAGGTCAAAAAATGAATACTCAATATATATAGATATAAACATACAGTAAACCATTTTCTGATTTTTTAATAATCAAACATATATTTTTTCCAAAATTTTTTAAAAAATATTTAAAATTCAAAATTAATTTCTAGTTATTAATTTTACATGGGTAAGCTGCCATCTTATCCTATCTTTAAGCCAAATTCCATAATTTTATTAATAATTAGCTTAATTCTACACCAAAAGAAATCAGCAAAGAAAGAAATACAAAAAAAAGAAATATTTTGACTGAAAAGTCAAAATATTTGGCTTAATAGAGAGGTTGCAGCCGACATTTTCAATGCAAAAATGTGTACATCAGACGTTCAGCGCTGCTTTCTTATAAGCCTAGAAGTTTGACAATGGTGTTTGGATAGTCAGTGGAATCATGCTTGACATTTCAAACACCATTGCCAAACTTCTAGGCCTTTAGGAAAGCGGCGCTGAACTTCCGACGTACACGTTTTTGTGTTGAAAACGTTGGCCGCAATCTCTCTAATAATTTACAATTTTAAATTTATTATTAATTTATTTCTATTAGATGAATTAACAAATAGATCACATGTTGGTGTTGATCAGGATTTGCATCAGGTTCTTCCCAAGAACCTAGGATGTCATAATGTAATGGCATAGAATGTTTGCAGACCCAAGCAATGCAGATATTTGAAGTTGACAGATGCTAATTTTGTCAACGTTGATTTGCTTCAAGTGCTGCCTTAGGTTTTTGGGAACAGCACCCAGTGTTCCTAAAATCACTGGTTTTACTGCTGCTGGTTTGTGCAACAATCTTTGGAGTTCAATTTTCAAGTTCATGTATCTTGTAATTCATTCTTTATCATTAACCCTGCTGTCACCAGTAATTGTGACATCAACAATCCACACCTTTCTTCTCAACCATTGTTCTCTGGTTTATTGTGCGCTAGTACTCTATCGGTGTTGTTTTCCAATACTGTCTGTGGAATGTATTAGTAGTATGGTTCATGGATGTCTAATAATTTGTTTGTTTGCAAGCTCTTGGTGTATTATATTTGCTACTTGATTATGTCTATGTAAATAATCTGTCTGTGCCAAGAGCTTGCAACCAGAAGTGATCTTTAAACTTTTAATTTCTTAGTACAGTAGAGTGTCGTTTATCCGAAAGTCAATTATCCGAAAGAATTCCAGTCGGCAAGTTTAAATTTTTGCCAGTGCTGTGGCGCTGCAATCTTTGGCTATATCTTGGGCTACTCAAATATTTTACGCTTTTGATACTAAATTAACTTCTGAAGTATAATTTTTTATTGTTTTTATATTTTTCAATATATTTATTTTGTCTGTACAAAATAGAAAAATAATTTTTAATGATACAATAGTCTTCGTTAGGCTTAACATCAACGAAAATTCAACGCAAAGCAACACGCAACGGAGAAAAATTTCAACATGGGATAGGTTAATATATTTTTTTGTACATAATCGGTTATCTGAAATATTGATTTTCTGAACAACCCCAGTCCCCAATTGATTTGGATAAATGACGCTCTACTGTACTTTCGTTTGCTATCACGTTCCCACTATAGTTTCTGGCACGATGTGTCATTTGTGAGTGTTGTATCTTTAAGTATGTGTTTTCTGTAGTTTTTAGTATTTATGACCTGATCCTGTATGGTAGCCATGAACTCTTTCGTCTCCCCAAAGAGACATCCTCGAGCTAACCAGCTGTTTGACACAATTTTGTCAACAAAATCCTGGGCAGCTCGTAGGAATGCCTGCCACGGAGTACCTTTTGATCCCAAGACTGCTTAATGGTGTCTATGCTTTTCATGTGTTGTCATGTTCATATGTTGTGAGTGTAAATTTAATGGTGTGTTATTTGAGTCTGCTTTATGTAACTGTGATGTTTCTTGTTTTTTGTAGAAAAGCTCTTGCAGTGTCTATATTTGTTTATAGTGAAGGTTAACTATGTCAATCAGGCCACATCCACCATCTTTACATGGAAGGGTTAGTCTTTCTATTGTGGATTTAGGATGATGATGTTTATGCTTAGTGAGTGTTGTTCTTGTTTTCCTTTGGAGTTGCTCGAGATCTGTGTGAGTCCAATGTATAACTCCAAAAGAATAAGTGAGTACTGGGATGACATATTTGTTTATTGCTTTAACTGTGTGTTCTGCATTTTTGTGTGATGCATAAAGTTTTATATCATCCATGTACAGTACATGAGATGTGACAGTGTAAATTGTGTTGTTTTTTCATGTCTGATATTGTAGCCATATTGTGTGTTGTTTAACATGTTGGTGGCATGTCTTGTGGATTGATGATGATGTGTGTTAGATGTTTAGCTAGTTCCTGGTGCAATGATGTAAACTTTTTGTACCAGAAATTGTGAATGCTGTCTACATCAGGTGTCTTCCAGTTGTGTGTTCTGTTAACAGCGTAGCGGATGTCATGTACGTTTATTTCAGCACAGGGCATAGTTGGTATGTTGTGCAAGTTTCTGTTCTCCTCCTCGATCCAGACTGCATGAGCATTGTGTGTAACAGCATTGGACCAAAGAGAAGACCAATAAGTTGTGAGTTCTTCTTCTGTTGGTGTGCCACTGTGCTGTGTATCAGTGTTTGTTTTGGTACTGATTTGTCTGTAGAAAAGTTTTTCATTGTTTGTGAATAATTTATTTTGTTGTTTTCGTAGTGTACATGTTTTGTATCGTTTGAGTCTACGTGCTTTGGCTGCGAGTTTTTGTTTTAGTGTATCGATGTATTCTGTAATGTGTGTGTTGTGATGTTCATGTTTTGTGTGTGTTTTAATTTTCTTGAAAATGTTTTTGAGTTGTTTCTTTAATTTGGGTGTTATGTTGTTTTTAGTGTATTGTGTCAGCCTGCCTAATTGCTGTCTAATGTCATTTATTTGTGTTTCTATTCTTCTCTGCCAGGCAGGCTTGTGATAGAATTGTGTTTTGTGTGTGTCTGTCTGTGAGTGTATTTTCAGTCCATGGTGTGTTACTACTGTGACTGCCCCAGCATAAACTAATGTATGAATGTCTGAGAATGTAGAAATTAAATGGATGTAGTGTGGTAGTAAGTGTGTGTTTACATAATTTAGTGTTTTTCCTACTACCTTTGAAGTGTTGATTTTTGGTATTCGTGGTCTTTGTGTGGGATCTGTACCTGTATATTTAGTGAGTGTTTCCTGAAATATGAGTGAGAGTGTATTAACTAATTCTATGTCTATGTTATCAATGGTAGACAAGGAAGTATCTGTAGTATCATTAGTGGTAGTTGTTGTATGTGTGCCATTATCAGTGCTTGTTGCTGGATTATCCTGAAAGGTTACATGATCTGCATTAATGTTAAGTGTTTCTGTCTGTTGATGTATTTGATTAGCAACCTGTTGTTTGATAAGTTCAAGTGTTGGTTGTGGGATAAGGTTGTTGTGTATAATTGTTCGTTTTTGATCAACAACCCTTTGTTCGGTGACAGTTAGGTGAGGATATTGTTGTGTGAATCTATGGTGTAGTTGTTGTCTGTATGCTGTCATGTTTGTTTCGAGTTTTGTGATGGTGTAGTAAGTGCGGATGATAAACTCGTTCATTTCTATTGTCCATTTCATTTGCTGGCATGGTTTTCCAGCCTTTGTAGTCTGTGGATGCATTGCCACAGAAACACCAAGGCTAGGTTGATTCCTCACATCTGTTGAGGGCATTGTAGTAGCCATGCTTGGGCCAGTGCTGTTTTTGCCACTGGTAACCAAGGGAGACTGTGGCCTATTTTTCAAACGTGAGCCTATGTCTAACCCATGAACATGGACCTTGTTAACCCGGGCGATGTCCGAGCCAGTATCACACTTTGTTCTGGTTACTACCATGATAAATATCTACATGGAATGTGGGTGTGATCACTCTTAGCTTCATTTCTCTCCATAGACCTTACTGGCATGGGTGTCCTTACCAGGATCTTGTGCTCTGGCCTGCATTGTTCTATGGATCAGTAAAATTACTGAGCTCTCCCACCAAGACCAGGTGGTGACCATGGGAGAGTTATTATTATTATATTCAAAATGATGCAAACAGTTTTAATAATGAAGCTGATGATATATGTAATATGTAATATTTTTATCTACACTAGTTTAAAAATTTTTATACTTAATAGATTATATCATTGAACATTCAATTTTAAATAGTTAACATTTATTTTCAGAAGTTGAAAAATCTTCCAATGAAACTAAAAATGAGTCTGAAGTTTTAATAGATGAGAAATCTGCCTTTGATAAAAGTAAATTATTTTCTTATTAAATATTTTTATATTATACACAAACTGTATGGAGTGTTCACTTTAACCTTTATCCAGGTTCAATTAAAAGAGATCTTTTCAGCAATGCATAGGTATATGCATATAGGTATATGTTGTTTATAATAAAATAAGTTAATTAATTAAAAAAAAAATACATGTTTAAATTATATGGTATCTTAAAGCGGGGGTGAATTCTCTGGGCTTGCTTAGTGTGTGCCACATGCTTAAGAGAAAGTTTTGACTGTCAATATATTTTTTATATGAGAACAAATATGCCAATAATAATTTATTCTAATGTGTAAGCTCTTTTATCATTTGTGTTTGCTTTTTCATTGACAGCTTGTGGCTAGCCGTTTTAAGTCAGTGTGATGCTTGCAGGAACTTGATCGTTTGCTTATGTCGGTTTTCCGAGGCAAACAAGTGCGCATGCATGACATCATTCAAAGCATTTAACATGGCCAGATTGTATCAAAAGCTTGCGGTACCCAGTCAGCATACATGTGTTGTGTACAGGGGCAGATCTACATAGGGACTAATACGGCTTAAGCCCTGCGCTCCAGTGTCAAGGGCCCACAAAAATTGAATTATTATCATAAATTTTTAATACTTTTTTATTTTAATATATTTCATATATTTTATGTGTAGATATAATGGGCTTTATAATAGTCCATACTTTTTTATTCACACCAAATAACGTTTCTGCCTATTGTTTAGTGCTAGAGATAGGCCTGTTATTCTTATTATAACTTTCAGCATGCTCAAAAGTTTTGGTCAGGATTTATCTGTCTCCAAGTCATCTCTCTCAAGGACAAGAATGTGAGCTGCCGGAGAGGTTGGTGATGCCTCTCCTTTCCGGCAGGTCAGTGACCTACTTTCTTGTCAAGGATGGCGTTTCATTCTGTTACGCGTTATGCGAGTGGAGGAGAGTCAGAGGGGTCGACGATAAGACGTTGGCAAAGTTGAGTAAAGACACCATTTAAAAACAAAACAAGAGTTTATTACAATCAACTATGAGAAAAATTACAAACCTAATTACTCTAAGTTCCATTATAACAACCTATCCTTCTACTGCGCGGATGACGGAGAGAGAGAGAGTTTACAAATATGCATTCATACCTCTTTGCAAATATTAGTGGGATATTTTTCCGCAATATTGGTCAAATGGATTCTGGGGTGTGGCACAAGGTGGAGTAGGTCTGCGATGGGGAAGACTTCGATGTTTCGACTCACGATCGGCGATTCCCCGAGAGGGGAAGGAGGATGTCTTTTATACGTTTTGCAGTGGGAAACTTTGTCAGGTGACCAATTGTTTTAGCAGGTGTGGGGTTAAAGTTGGTGTTAAAATGACAATATTATGATGAATTTCGTTGGTAATTGTAAACTATACATGGTTTGATCGTGAGAATGTTTATAGTTAAACAGAAAGAGTTATAAATTTCTCATGCACTCTATAGTTTGTTTCTGTAGGTTCAAATTCCTCTATTTAAAGGAATTTATTATAAATTTAAAGGATTAAATTCCTTTATGAAACTATATAAACTTCGAATTTCACAAGAATAATGGAAGGAAAGCATTTTAAGATTTAGCATAACATAATTTCTATGTTATGCTAAATCTCTAATTGTAAAGGACAAAAATTAACCTTGCATAAATTAATACAAAAGCACTTAGCATTATTTTACTATAGTACATGTTTAAAATGATTGCCTTTAATGGCAATACAAAAGTGTAGACATTTAAGACTAGAAGTATGAATGATCCATAATATTCCCAGCATCACTGTTGTATCCTTATATTCCAGCTCATCAACATTACTTGAGGATACTCGGTATGTGCCATATGCTGATGCTTTTAGGTGACCCCATGGGAAAAAGTCAAGTGGGGTCAAGTCTGGGGAATGTGATGGCCATGTTGTCTTGGCTACTGATTGTCAAATTGTTCTGTGAGCCACTGATCCGTATCTGCCTGGGAATGAACTGGCACACTGCTGGTACCAAACATGTTTCAGTTGTTCCAATGGCAAGTCATCAGTTATTCATACACAATTGAACTAATGAATCATAAGCATACACTTGTCCAATTCTGGTAAGATCTCCTTTATGGTTGGATAAACATTAAAGTGAAGATTCTNAGTTAAACAGAAAGAGTTATAAATTTCTCATGCACTCTATAGTTTGTTTCTGTAGGTTCAAATTCCTCTATTTAAAGGAATTTATTATAAATTTAAAGGATTAAATTCCTTTATGAAACTATATAAACTTCGAATTTCACAAGAATAATGGAAGGAAAGCATTTTAAGATTTAGCATAACATAATTTCTATGTTATGCTAAATCTCTAATTGTAAAGGACAAAAATTAACCTTGCATAAATTAATACAAAAGCACTTAGCATTATTTTACTATAGTACATGTTTAAAATGATTGCTTTTAATGGCAATACAAAAGTGTAGACAGTTAAGACTAGAAGTATGAATGATCCATAATATTCCCAGCATCACTGTTGTATGTGCCCCTTATATTCCAGCTCATCAACATTACTTGAGGATACTCGGTATGTGCCATATGCTGATGCTTTTAGATGACCCCATGGGAAAAAGTCAAGTGGGGTCAAGTCTGGGGAATGTGATGGCCATGTTGTCTTGGCTACTGATTGTCAAATTGTTCTGTGAGCCACTGATCCATATCTGCCTGGGAATGAACTGGCACACTGCTGGTACCAAACATGTTTCAGTTGTTCCAATGGCAAGTCATCAGTTATTCATACACAATTGAACTAATGAATCATAAGCATACACTTGTCCAATTCTGGTAAGATCTCCTTTATGGTTGGATAAACATTAAAGTGAAGATTCTGTATAATAGAAATGCATTTTGATTTTCAAAAAATAAACAAATTTAGAATGGATTTTGATGTTAGTATATTGATAATATTATATAATGAGTTATAATTTTGATAAATTATATTCTTTGCCTACATACAAATTTCACAAGTATGTCTTGAAATTTTAGAATTTTCAAGCTATTGAAGATTAAACTGGGAATTAGAATAAAATAAACAATACTTTTAATCTAACAATTAATTGTAATTAAATAATAAATATTTTTGGCTATATCTATAAGCTATCTTTAGGTTTGAAAAACAATAAAAAAATTGTGAATAGCTTACAAATAGAATGTCATATGTATAAATTTGATTGAATGAATGTTTATTTTCAAACTAAAAGACTAATTAAAATAAAAAGTTACATATATAAATACAAATATAAGTATATTAAAACTAGTTTTATATCTGTATTTATGTATAAATTGAACATTACGTACATAAATTTGATTGATATGAATTAAATCAAATTTATATATGTAATGTTCTACTTTATAATTACTCTTTTTGCTTTTATGCTGTACTTCAATCCTGAAAATGGCTGGAAAATGCAGCCAAAAATATTTATTCTTTAATTAATAATTTTTAATTCAGCAATTAAAATATTTATTGTATTGGAGAATTTTTCATAAGATCAATTGATACATCTAAAAATATACTGTATATTTTAAAATAAATGAATAGCATAAAATTTTTATTTCTGCATTTCCAAAAAAATATTCTTTAGGTTAACTTTTAATTAATAATGATTAAGATTTTATAAGTTATTTTGAAAATTATATTTAAATACATGTTCAAAATAGAACATGTATTTAAATTAATTAAATATAATTTTTACATTGAACCATTTTTATATTTTTATAAAATAACAATTTGTTTTTAACTTTTCTAAATAAAAATATTTTTTTCTAAGGTGGTGATATTTCAGAGACCAGCAGTTCAGATGATGATATCAGTGATGTTGAAGATGATAGAACCAAAACACAAAAAAGTAATTTCGGTTTTTTCTTTACTTATTTATTTATGTATTATTTTGTGTGTGTGTGTGTATAGATATGAAATAAATGTGAATGGGACAGCTGTACCCCCTTGGGTCAGGTCTGACACCACCTGTGACTTTTGGCTGACATGAACCTTCAAACCACACAAGCGCCATACATGTAGGACTCTTACAGAGTAAGGGATGAAGGAAGGATATTTTAGAGACACAGGGAGGCCTGGAAGTAAGCCACTCAACTACTGAATTAACAATAAAACAAATAGCATTTAATTTTACATAAGCCTGAGATACATGCATTATAAGATTTATCTATAGGGGTTACTATATTCTAGCAGACTAGTCTGTAATCTATTTGTGCCTAACATCCACAGGAGAGAGAGTTTAACCTAAATTTTGTGGGTTGAGCTAAATACCTGAATCCTTGAGGTTCAGGTGATTGCTGGCTGGTTTTGGCATCCTTGAAAGGGGGAGAAAAGTCTCTTACTTCACTGAAGATGTAATAAAGGACCATTTACACACAACAGTGATGTGCCGGCACAGTGCAGTGAATTTATGCCTGTGGGAAATCGTTGACCTAGTTTTAAACCACTCTGTCCAGACTCGTCTGTCACAGTGCTGTGCAGTGGCAGTGGCATGACTGTACCATGAAAGTACATTTGATGGGAATGATATTTTCACTGACGGTAAATTTTGTTTTCCAATGTATGACAAAAATTTAACTGAAATGGTGCATTTGATTTTATTTCATTCTATTTGATTTATCTCATTCAAGATACATGGACATTGGGTACAAAATTAATACAGTGGGTGATCGGTTAACGAACAAATCGGATAACGAATACTTTCGCGAAAGATTTTTATGATCGGACAATGAACATATGTTCGGATAACAAACACTTCACAGAACAAACACAAGAAGCGACGTAAAATAACGAATACCAATTGGTCTTTTTTTGTCTTCAGGCAACAATTCGAAACTTTTCGGAGCACGGGAGACGTCGACATTGACGTTCTACCCAGTATATACTAATCGGATAGTATTCCCCCGAACTTTGAAACTCTCCCTTGTAATTCCAGCCTTTTGCATTTCTGACAGAAAATTCTTTTACGTTTTCTTCTGAAAATGCGGATTTATGCCGATATCTGCTATTAAAGATCTTTTGAAGAAGTAGGAAGATGTCAGAACAACGGTCTTAAAATGGCATCCAAACCAAGTTGAGGTTAATAAGCCTAGGGATCTCTACAATTACAATGCTATTAGTTACTTCTGAAAAATCATGAAGAAGACAGAAAAGCAATCGACATTGGACAGATTCTTTAACCACCACAAACAAAAAAAAACATGACTAATAAAAATGCAAGACCGTGTATATATGTATTTTTATTATTACATATGAATAAACGTAGTAAAAAAGTATATACTTTTTTTATTTTTCGGGTCTCCAGAACGAATTAATCAAATTCCCATAGAAACCTATGGTAAATTGATAATCGGTTAATGAACAATTCGGATAGCGAACAAAGTCTTGGAACAGATTATGTTCATTAACCAATCACCCACTGTATTTTCTCTGTTTTGTTTAATAAAATATGAAACGCATGTTGGGATATTCGAAAATATTCAAAAAACATAGATTCGGCATCTCAGTTTTTTATAAAGAGTATGAAACTCCCATTCTGTTGATATTTTTTGTCCATGCTTGATGTACCCACTTGCAGCACTTTCTTGATCGCATTTCTTTTTCTTCTTCATCCAAACATATAGCTATCATAGCCAATTCATCCTCAGAAAAGTCCATGACCACTCACTGACAGCACGGTCACATCACTGTTGTTGTAAATACTCATCACTGTGCCAGAGTGTCACTGTTGTGTGTAAGTGGACCCTAATCCATAATATTAATGGTCACAATCAGTTCAGGTCCATTATCCTTTAATTTGGGCAGCAACTGGATTGGTAGGAACTGGGTGGCTGACAGGACTAAACAGAAGGATGAAATTGGAAGATAACATTCTTGACTTTTTTGTTGATCCTTTTATACATTTTTGACTGTTTCCTGTGTCGAGGTATCTCCAAATAAGACAATATTGAATGAAAACATTGTCCTTGTCCAATCCAATTTTTTTTCATCTTTTCCTTAGGTGAGTTTCTCTCGGAAGAGAAGTTAGTCAATGCAAATCTTGTTTCCTCATTGCTTTTTAACAAATGATGACATTTCGGTGGTTATTGTGTATTACATCCAGTTATAAATGATAAAGCATTTAAATACTGATTTCGTTGATTATTATAAACATGTTCTAAGGAGAAAAGAATGAAATAAAATTCAAATAATTGTGTATAATTGAAAAACTATATACAAATTTAAACTATATAGAACAATTTTAGATCACACTTTATATTTAAAATTTAAAAAAGTTGTCAGTCATAATATATTGCAATATTTCATGATTGGAATACATCAAATGTACTACTGTAGAGTATATTGTATAGATATATACAATCTAAAGTTTTTATTGTAATCACTTTGGGACTCATCTTCACTTACGATAATAACTGATTGATAACATGAAACAAACATGTTGAAATAACTGAAAACAATATATAACTTGAAGATTTATTATTAATTTTAATTAATTCATACAGTGTTGTTTGCTTTCTGTTTTTGCAGTTCTGTTTTTAACAACTGCTGGCATATAATTTAAGTAAGAAATAAGATTTAAATTGTATGAAGCTTATTTTTTAAATAAGGTCCATTTTTTAATAAGAAAAATACGTAAATATCATTTAAATATATTTTTTCCCAAATTCTACATACTTCTATCTACTTTTCTACATAATTTCCATTTTTGTTCAAACATTTGTTATAATGCTCAACAGTTTTTTTGAATTACAACTTCAAAGAAATCTGCCACCTGTGAAAAAGCCCAATCCATGACTGCAGTTTTCACTTTTTCATCTTCATTGAACTGTTATCAACCAAAAAACTTCTTTAACCTATTCAATGTTGAAATTTTTCTCTGTTGCCTGTGACACCATGTTGAATTTTTGTTGATGTTAAGCCTAACAAAAAAAAATTTTTTTTTTAAAATAATAATCGTGTTTACTGTGTCGTTAAAAATTATATTTTTATGTTGAACAAACAAAATAAATATATTGAAAAATATGAAAACAAAAAAATTATCTTTTAAAAGTTTGTTTTAATATAAAAATTGTGAGGCATAGTGACATCTAGTATCAAAAATGTTTTGATGCAGACACAAAAATATTCAGGATTGCCCACGCAGGTCAATGAGGTCAACATGAAAGTTTTCAGGAACAAAGCAGGACAGGTTAAGTATCGAAACAAGTGAAAATCACTGGGTGCAAGGTTTGGACTGTAAGGTGGATGATTCAGTTGTTCCCATCCAAAAGAACTGAATAGACCTTGTGTTTGTGCAGAAACATGTGGCCTTGCATTGTCATGGAGCAACATCACACTGGAAGACAGTAGACCATGCTGTTTGTTTTGTATGGCATGCCGGAATTTTCTCAAGATTACATAATATGCATCAAAATTGATTGTTGTGGCTCTCGGCATAAAATGTACTAACAAAATCCCTTTCCTGTCCCAAAAGACAGTTGCCATGATTTTTTGTGCTGAAATGTACTGTTTGGCTTTCACTTTGGTTGATGAAGATGTGTGTCACCATTCCATTGATTGTTGCTTAGACTCGGGAGTCACGTGAGACACCCAAGTCTCATCTCATGTAACGATGTGGTCCAACAATTCCCCTCCTTCCTGATTGTATCAAGTCAAAAATGATAAAGCACTGCTCAATCTTTTTGTTTTGTGATCATCAGAAAGCAATCTTGGAAGCCACCAAGAACACAATTTTTGATAATTCAGTTTCTCTGAAACAATGGTATACAAAACTGATCTTGAAACCTGTGGAAATTCAATTGATAGCATTGAAATCGTGAATTGTCGGTCCTCTTGAATTTTGTTATCCACATCACAAAGCAAATCTTCAGAAATCAGAGAAGATCAGCCAGGGTGTGGCTCATCATGCACATTAACTTGCTGGTCCTTGAACATTCTCACCCACTTTTGAACTTTGCTGTCACTCATAGCATTATCACCATAAACTTCACAAATCTGACAGTGTATTTCCACTGCTGCCAAGTTTCTTGCACTCAAGAATCAAATAACAGATTATATCTCACAGTCAGCGGGTGACTCAATTTTCTTAAACATTATAAACTTCTACAGCTCAGCACACAAACAGACGATACAGCTGCAAATGGTGTCTAAATACATGCAAAGCATGCTCGGAGCAGACACCCATACACACTGCCGCGATCACATGTCATTCTCACTCTCATTCACAAATGGACCTTATTTTAAAAATAGCCCTCATAGTATAAAATGCTTACTGTCAATACTTTAATTTTTCTTCAAGATTTAAACTATTGTACTGTGAGCAAATAATGACTACATTTAAAGCACTAGTTTAGACTGATAACTTGTAACAATTGTAAATTATCAACTATATTTCAAGACTTATAGCATGAACAAATTAGCCAAAAGACTGTTCATATGAAGTTTGCTGCATTTTTTTCATGTGTCTAATTGCTAAATAGGGACCAGTTTTGCATAGAAAGTCCTTTTAGGAGGCACTTCTCTTTTGCCCAAAGATTGCCTTATTCCATCAACCAACCAACCAACCAACCATAAAATTAAAATGAATAAAATTACATAAAATCAAAAAGAAAATTCATTATTTGTAAATCAAATTGTTTAATTAATTAACTTACAAAAATACTGTATAATTAAAACTTAAATTGAAATAAATAACGATAATTATGAAAGCTGATTTGGACTATAAATATTTTCATTCATATTTTAAATATTTTATAAGAATTATATTTGAGATATATTTATAAGCATCAATACTTTAATTTCTCTTTGTAGTGCATATTAAATGAGTTATAATGTCTATGTAAATAATAATAAATGGCTGTTAAATTTAGAAAAGAAGAAAAAGAAGTTAGTTTTAGATCCTGAAGGTCTTGCCCTGGGCTCTTTGATGATTAAATCACAAAAAACTAAAAGAGATATCATTGATGATGCTTTCAACAGGTATGTGTTATATAGTTGGCATTCATTTAATATTTTTAGATATATTTCTTGGAACATTAGAGTTAATGAGATAGTTTTTATCAAGACTATCAAGAGCTTGTATGAGGCCTAGGTGCTTTAGCCCAGTGGCGGCCTTAAAGGGTGGCGAGCAGGGCAATGGCCCGGGGCCTCGCTCTTAGAGGGGCCTCGCGCAACAACCAAGTAGAAAAAAGTTGATATTTAAAACTTTTTATTTTATCCTTGGCTATTAGTTATAACAATAAAATAAATTTAATTTATAGTACAGTATATATTAATATTAATAAGTGCCTACTATTTCAATTCACATACTTTGCACAAAGGACAAGGGCCTCGCAAAAATCTGCCGCCCAGGGCCTCGCAAAGATCTGCCGCCCAGGGCCTCGCAATGGATAAGGCCGCCGCTGCTTTAGCCTTTTGTTTTTTGAACAAATGAAATATGTAAAATATCTCTTTAGTAAAAAAAAAGTTTTAAAGATTTTATTTTCTATTAGTTAAAATAATATTAATTTTATAATAGTAGGAATTATTTAAGTTTCCTTCAGGCTAAAGCGAAATCCAGCTCCCCTTCCAAAGGCTCTGGTTTGTATAAAAGTAATTTTATAAAAAAATAAATGTTGTTGTTTCATGTATTTTTATATCTAAATTAAATAAATTGTATAATAATGATAATTATTATTTTTTCAAAAGATAATTTAGCTTACTAAATCTTATACTTTACATGTATTATTCAGTTTTATTACAATACACAGTATTTATTTCTAATAATTGTAATTTTTAAATTGTACCACTATTGGAAGGTCTTGTTAGACAATTTTATTATTTAGATGGAGAAAAGGATTTCAAAATAAAAGTTTACTCTACCATGTAACATTATTGCTCCTTATAGTGTGAGAACGGACAAATGTGAAGACTGTTTCTTCTACATAAGGATTTTAAATGCAATGTATATTTCATAGATATTAAATTTTGGAAATTAATACATCTGCTCCAAAACTGGAAAAGAACAAACATTTAAAATAATTTTATTGGTTTTACCATTAGGTCACTCACAAAGAGGATAGAGGAACATTGCATTAAAGCTTCTAGAAGTATTATATCCAATTCCACTGTTGTCTATGAGGGCTTTAGAAGCAGAGAGAGTATTATGGAAGCATATTATGGAATAAACCTATAATACTTGAAGAATGGGATGGTTGTACCCAATAATACTTTTAGAAAAATTTTATATCTCTTTGGGTTGACATTGTAATGTTATTAAGTAGGTCATTCAGGAAGTAATGACCTATTGTGCATTTCCACTGCACAAATTGATATCGGGCTTCTGTCCAAGGTCAAATAGTTTCCTCAACATCTGTTCTCAGTGTTGTGTGAGTGCTAGTCAAAACAAGTTGTTATTGTGCATTCTGTGATTGTTAACAATGAAATGTATGATACAAAGTCCCACCAACTGTGAAGTTGGAGGTGTTGTTCAATTTTTGAATGCTCAGAAGTTGAAACCTGCAGAAATTTACTGTCAACTAAAGGAAGTATATGGTGATACAGTAATGAATGAAAGAAATGTGAGAAGGTGGTGTAAAATGATTAACAATGGATGAACAAATGTGCATGATGAAACTCGACCCAGACGTCTGTCACTCATCACAGATGATATAAAGAATCAAGTGAAGAACAAAATCATACATGACAGACACATAACCCTGGATGAATTACACATTTCTTGTTCTTTGTTTGGTGAAATTGTGTCTGAACATCTTGGCTTTAGCAAAGTTTATGTGCATGATGGGTTCCTCTGCCACTGAGAACACAGAGAATGGGTGCAACACTGACATTTCTGATGCAGTATCATGCAGATGGAAATGCCCTTCTTGATCAAATTGTTACTGGTGATGAGACATGAGTGTCTCACTTCACCTCAGAAACCAAGCATCAATCACTTGAGTGCTATCATCCCTCATCATCCAAAAAACCGCAAAAATTCAAACAAACTTTGTCAGCACGAAAACTCATGGCAATGGTTTTTTGGGATCATAAGGGTATTCTCTTGGTGGATTTCATGCCAAAAGGCACTATGATCAATGTAGATCAATATTGTGACACCTAAGAAAACTATGGCAAGCAATCCAAAATTGTAGGCATGGAATGCTTTCTCGTGGTGTCGTGCTTCTTCACGACAATGCCCACCCTCACACTGCTGCTGCAACCACAGGCTTGCTGGATCGATTTGGATAAAAATTTTTGATCATCCACCCTACAGTCTGGACTTTGCTCCTTGTGATTTTCACCTTTTCACAAAGCTCAGAGTTTCTAGGTGGGAAACATTTTGGAAGTGATGACAAGGTGAAGAATGCAGTGAACAACTGGCTTAATAGATAGGTGGCAGCCAACTACGACACAGGAATTCTAAAGCTCGTGGACAGATATGACAAATGCTTAAATAATGATGGTGATTATGTAGAGCAGAGGTTGGCAACCTATGGCACGCATGCCAAATGTGGCTTGTGAGATGATTTTCACTGGCACTCTGATTGAATATAAATGTAGTAAAATATATATTTTAATTATTAATTACACATTTAAATGGAGGCCATAGTTCAGTGTTGGCAGTGGTACATTAAAAATGAATTTCTTGCTTGTATATTATATTACAATGCATGCATTTATGCTCCATGTCGCCAACTACATGTTGTCCTGTTCTTCACACGTAAGAACATAATTCAATTAACAACTTAATTTCAAAATTATATATTTTTGAAGTCCATTATAATCGGACTAATTTTGATAATATATATAACAAAATTGGTGGAATCATGTTGGAACCCAGAATAACAATAAGTTAGGTTCGGCATAACACTGCCAAAAGGTTGCTGACCCATGATGTAGAGAAATAAAGTAGCTTCAATTTTGTAAGCGATATGTTTTTGTTAATAAAATATATTTCTTTAATTTATTAAAGCCAAATGGTCATTACTTCCTGGATGAACCTTGTAGTATATAGAATGCATATTAAATTGATAATGCTTAGATATGGTTGTTGAATTCCATTAATTTTTCTCCTTTCTTCAAAAAGTTAATAGCAAAATCCACTAAATTATAATTATATTTGTCTTAATTTGTTACAAAATTCAGTTTATTTTCATTGAGAAATAAAGTAGCTTCAATTTTGTAAGCGATATGTTTTTGTTAATAAAATATATTTCTCTAATTTATTAAAGCCAAATGGTCATTACTTCCTGGATGAACCTTGTAGTATATAGAATGCATATTAAATTGATAATGCTTAGATATGGTTGTTGAATTCCATTAATTTTTCTCCTTTCTTCAAAAAGTTAATAGCAAAATCCACTAAATTATAATTATATTTGTCTTAATTTGTTACAAAATTCAGTTTATTTTCATTGTATTTTAATTTTGCTTTTATTTATACTTATATATTATTATTTTACTTTATTTTATTTGTATTATTTATTTCAGTTCATAGGTATTTATTTTATATGGTTTCACATTTTCCATTGCCTTGCTTTCGTTTCAAATTCAAAAATTCTCTTTATAACATTAATTTGAAAGTGTTCTGTTTTATATATTCTATTCCAAACTGTTAAATATTAAGATTGCAAGCTGACTGATTAAGATTGCAAGCAAACTGGAAATGTTTCTTGTAATTAATAAAAGTTGGCTTCCTGAAATCAGCAATCATTTATCCACTTGTTTTGGACTTGTGACTTTTATCCACTTGTTTTGGACTTTTATCCACTTGTTTTGGACTTGTGACTTTTATCCACAATCATTTATCCACTTGTTTTGGACTTGTGGTCAGTGGTGAATCCAGAAGAACCCAAAGGGAAACTAGCTCAAGAATTAAAGATATTTGAATAATTATCAATACCTTTTATTAATATGTGCAAGATGATTGTATTATAGATGGTCCAATAAGCCATACATAAACATTTTTAAAAACATTGTTTTCAAGTTTGAATAAATTAATTGTTTTTGTCAATAAGGAAGGCTTAAGCACCTTTAGCCACTCTCCATTGACCTACCTGTGTTTGTTAATATGGAATCACAAACCTCAATGATTCTCATATTCATGGGATGCCATTAAATTTCTACTGATAAACAATGGCCTTTGAGTGTCCCCAGTAAAAAAAAATCTAATAGGTGAGATCTGGTGAATAAACTCAACCCTTATGTCTGACAATGGCATCTGCTCCATTCATTCACCTACAAAAGAGGAAAAAGAAAACACTATGTTTGGAGACTTTTGCCATATCCTGTACTATTCTTTCAGTTTAAACAGCTGAGAAAACTGTTGAAAGATTGAGTCAGATTTGCACATCTGCTAAAGTAGCCACACCTCCTCTGAGAAAATGCAGCTTAGATACTCATTTTTTTAAACTTATTATTATTTGGTGGAGTATGAAAAGATATGTGTTATTACTTTGGCTAGATCGAGTTAACACGTTAATGACATCAGTAGATAAACTTTTACACATCTGCTGGGCGTTACAAGTCACCCATGACTTGTAGTCTATTTTAATACAGGGCTGTGAGACACAAGTGACTCATACTATTAAATTAATATATTTTATTCCACCTAATAAAATAATNGAGAAAATGCAGCTTAGATACTCATTTTTTTAAACTTATTATTATTTGGTGGAGTATGAAAAGATATGTGTTATTACTTTGGCTAGATCGAGTTAACACGTTAATGACATCAGTAGATAAACTTTTACACATCTGCTGGGCGTTACAAGTCACCCATGACTTGTAGTCTATTTTAATACAGGGCTGTGAGACACAAGTGACTCATACTATTAAATTAATATATTTTATTCCACCTAATAAAATAATATCGATATATCAAGTATGATGCCTGTAGGATTATCAGTTATCAAAATATATGCGTCGCCCCACGGGAAAATGAGCAATTATGTCTGTCATCCTAACAAGACATGTCTGTATGAGTCATGTGTGCCTCGTAAAGCTGTTAACATGTTAAATATGTCCTTGATGAGATCTGTGGATTTATATTTTTTGCTAGTTGAATTGCAAATATATGATCTTAAATGAAATAAATTAACAGAACAATATAAATGAAAGTAAAGTAATCTTATGATGAATACACTAATTGAACAGCTGGATTCCTTTATCGGCCTATTAAGGCTAAATACTTACTAAGTAATTCAGCAGGAAATAAATGCTTAGGCTGTCTTCTCTTGTTGAACTTAATAGTTATAAATAAACTAATTAATTGAATTTAATTTTAGAATATTTAGGAAGAAAAATCAGATTGGTTATATATTTTATATAGATAAATATATTTTTAGGTACAGTTTCAATGATGAAAATTTACCTGATTGGTTTGTTAAAGATGAAGAGAAGCATTATAAAAGAAATCTCCCAGTTAGTGAAGTAAGTATAATTATTTTTATTAATTATATTTTTAAATTAGATGCAATATCATATATTCTAAAACAATTATGGCTTGATGTCCATTATTACTTTTAGTGGTCAAGTGTATAAACCACTGAACACTGGTAGTTGGTGATGGATTTGTGCCTCACCAATGAACTGGCCACTTTGAGTTTACTAAGTTGTTTTTGTTTGTGTAACACCTAAAACAGTTTCTTATAGAAAGTCCTACTGGGAGGCACTCCTTCTTGCCCAAAAGTTGCATTATGTTATTCTGTCAATCCAATCTATAATTATAGTGTAACCCCAATTAACTGAGGTTCTATTCTGCATTATCTGAAGTGAACATGTAAGTGACTACATTACTTGTTGTAATTCATAAAAGAAGGTTTGAAGTGGTAATGTGTCTTATAAAATGATTTAACTAGAAAATGATTTCAATGTAAGTCAAACATTTACATAAAATGTAACTACAATAGTGCACGTATTTACACTTAAAACTATTGTACATATTAGCTATATTGTAAATGATGTAAAAAGTTTTGTTCTTATATATGTTTAAATTCACTAAGGTACAAGAGGCATAAAAATGATACCATTTAAATCTTTTGTATTTGTAATTTTTAATCCAAAATGGCCATGGTCATCCATTTTATTAGAATTAGAATTTTCAGTTATTTGAGATAGCATTGGTCCATGTAGCTCAGATAATTGGGGTTCTACTGTATTTTTCCTAACAATAATAATAGGAATAATACAATAGAAATGCTGAAAGTCTGATAAAAATAAATACCATGTGTATTACAATTTTATTCTTTAATCTTGTAAGAAAAGAATAATATATTCATATATTTTGCTATCAATATAATAAGAGTTATTAGGCCATAATTTATTGTATATGACAATAAAAGATTGTTGAATAGACAAAAGTAATATTACTTTATTATGGTTTATCCTTCATATTTTAATAATGCAATAAATTTTTCCCCTTTTTTAGTCTCTTGTACAAGATTACAAAGCTCGTTTAAAGGCAATAAATGCCAGACCAATTAAAAAAGTCATTGAAGCTAAAGCAAGAAAGAAGAAAAGGGTAAATAAGCAATTGTTTTTCCTGCCTCTAAGTAAAGTCATATGCATTTAACCATTATCATCTTGCAGGCTCTTCGAAAACTTGAAAAAGCTAGAAAGAAGGCAGAATCAATTACAGAATCACTGGATATGAGTGAAAAAGAGAAAGCACAGCACATAAAATCGTTAGTAACTTATGAAGTTTTTTTATTATTGTTTTTTCTGAATTTTTTAATTTGTGATTTTTAAATTGCAGAATATACAAAAAAGCATTAAAGAAGAAAGAAGACAAAATTACTTATGTAGTAGCCAAAAAAGGAATAGGAAGAAAAGTCAGAAGGCCAGCAGGTGTTTCAGGAAGATTTAAAGTTGTAGATAGGCGACTGAAGAAGGACAAACGTTCATTGGATGCTAAAAGAAAGAAACATAAATAAATATATTTTTCATATTAAGTAAAATTTGATAAGTTTATTCATTTCTAAAAAATTATTCTTTCCCTGCACGATTAGGCCATTCTATAAGGCCGGCTCTTTGGTCACATAGCGATCACCCACTAGTCTCTCGAAGTAAAGGTGTATAGCCATAATACTCCATATGAACAACCATCTACTGAAAGAAGAAAGAAAAAAAGAATATTTTTTTACATTTAGAATTTAATAAATATACGGAAATTTGTATAAACTATTCATTTTATATAATTACTAGCTGCAAGGACCCGCTTTGCTGGGTTTTTATTTGTTCGTACATTTGTATATAATACAGTTTTTGTTTTTTATATATAAAAGACTGTTTTTCTAAGTAATCTAGAATCTAGCTGCAAGGACCCGCTTCACTGGGTTTTTATTTGTGGAAAAAAAGTAACGATAGTGAAGATTAAGATAATTACATTATAGCCAATCTTACCCGTTTTCACAGAATGCAAGAATTAGGTCCCCCGTTTCCAGACTAATTAGAGACCTGGTCCCGATTCTATTTCTGAACGTCTCCTGTTCACGTCCAGTCAAACGAACTATTTTCAACGTTTCTGGAACGTTTACAATCGTTCTATAATCGAACCAATATTCGAATTTTATGTTCGAATTTAATTCGAACAAATTCGAACAAAACATTCGAAATAGAAAGCCACTTTCAACCACTTTCAGCCTCATATCTCCCGCACCCTTATAGCTATCGAGACGTAACCACCCTGGTGCACGAATGGAGACTTGGGGCTACCACCACATACAAACACCATTCACGTGCGATGTGTAGTTTTTGCGGAAAAGTGAAATATAGGGACACGCGTCCATTTATATATATATAATATTTTCCTTTTATATTTTGTACTAATATTGTCTATTAACATTTTATCCTTTCATCTGAATTTAATTTTTAACGGTTCTATTATTATTATACTTTTTAGCGAGTATAAATGCTTAATGTTTTTGAAATTAACAATTCTAAAAATTGTAACCTTAAATTCCCACTGTCGTCTGTCTGTCCTTCCTTAATCTCAAAAACGGTGCTAAATAAATGAAAATCAAGACAAGATATGGAAATTTTACTGGCGGGAGGCTCCAATTAACTATATATAAACTTCCGCTTTGGCCCGGAAGTCACTTTATTTCAATTCAAAATTTTTCTGAAAGGAGTTAGATATATAACCGGCATTACTTCCTTGTTAACAGGAAAAGTATGATATATAGGGGCAAGACACTATAAACTTAAGTGCACGAAACATTCGAAGTCTGGCATTGTGACGATGTCGCAATAAATAACTGCTCATTTATCTTTAAATACAGTGGGTGATCGGTTAACGAACATAATCCGTTCCAAGACTTTGCTATCCGAATTGTTCGTTAACCGATTATCAATTTACCATTGGTTTTTATGGGAATTTGCTTAATTCGTTCTGGAGACCACAAAAAAATAAAAAATATATAATTTCTTACTACGTTTATTTATGTAATAATAAAAATACATATACACAGTTGCATTTTTATTAGTCACGTTTTTTCCGTTTGTGGGGGTTAAAGAATCTGTCTAATGTCGATTGCTTTTCTCTCTTCAAGATTTTTCAGAAGTAATTAATAGCATTGTAATTGAAGAGATCGCTTAGCCTATTAACCTCAACCTGGCTTGTATGCCATTCTAAGACCGTTGTTCTGACATCATCCCACTTCAAAAAAATGTTTAATAGCAGATATCGACATTAATTCTCTTGTTCAGAAGAAAACATATCTCGCCGAGTTTCTGGTGTTCTTCATTCAAGAGTTCTTGGCATTCTTCTGTCGTCAGATTATGAGCTCTTCAATGTTCTTTATTTCACAGATGTGATTTTTGTTACTCCTTTAGCTGCTTGAGTCTTCTCGATTATACAGTAACTTTCTTAGATAAGATTGAACTGCGGCCTACTGTAGATTTGTTCAAGTCATACTGTCCAGCAAGATAAGGCGTCTTCTGCCCACTCTATCTTTGCTACTATACTCTTACCTTTCGAAAATGAAAACCGACGCAAAACTAAACGAGTGGCCGCCCGACAGTCGCGAATACAGTACTATAAAAAATTGTTTTATCATAAAAATAAAAGGAATACAGTGGTGTCTCGAATAACGGACGCTGCAAACAAATGCGAATGATGTTTCCACTCTTTTGCCGTTGCCAATGACAATCTGCTATTTTTATAATATATTAGTATTATTAGAATATATTATTAGTATATCTGAAGTACAGAGCTCCCGTTGGGATTCGGTTTGCTCCCTTGTTTATTACGTACATCACCTCAGTGCCAGGGTATTTACATTTATTCAAGTGTTGTGAAAATCATGGCTTCTAAAAAACAGAAAGATGATTTCAATTGAAACAAAGCAAGACATCATCAGGAAGCCTCTGTCGTGTGTCGTATTTTGCAAATTTAAATTAATATGCGGCTCTCTGGTACTTTTGTTATTCTGTTTTCATGACAATTTGGCTCTTCTCATTTGACAAACTGCCGACCCCTTGGCTAGAGTCTCCATATTAATAAGACAAGAAAGAAAGAAAGTGCCGTCATTAGAAGCGGCGCATCCACCGCTTCCAATGAATTATTTTCTAAAAAAATAAATACATATTAATTTTAATTATATGAAAATAATCGCACAATATTTTATTATAACTGCATTATTTGTTGTCTTATTACAAATTTCTATATTACACGTGAAAAAAAAAATAAGATTGCTATTGTATACTGTAAGGTCTCGTTTTATACGGTGGATACGTTCTACAGAAAAGCGCATATAAAAAATTCGCATAAAAAAAGACTTTACTTGCCTTGAAAAAGTAGGGATACGTTCCATAATTTTCCCTCATTTTAAANAAATGAAAAAAAATTCATACCCAAGAACTATAATTCAAATATAGGTACTTTTACATTTTGTAAACATGAAAATACAAGAATTAGCAAGATAATTTAAAAATAAAATGTTTTATGATTTATTAAATTTTGTGAAAAATAAACAAGGCAGAAAGCTGTATATACGTTGTATTAATCTTTAAGTAATATTTGCCAGATGGCTGATGTACTTAAGGCATCAGCCTCACTCTGAAAATATGAGATTGAATTCAGGAAATTGTAAAACCTGGATATATTGAGTCTCATTCCTCTCTATGTGGCCATTGTGGGCCTAGTAGAATCCACAATATGCCTGAAAAAAAGGAACTTAGGATGATCCTCTGTTTAGGAACTATTAGTTTAAACTATTTGTAAAGACAAGACAACAATAATAGATAGATAAATTTTATTATTTAATTAATGAACAGATTTTATTTTCTAAGCATTAAATATATACAGTGGTACCTCAGTATACGTCTGCTTTAGAATACGTCCAATTCGGAATACGTCCTGTTTGGATGAAACAAATTTTGCTCAGTATACAACATAATTCAATTATACACGCCATCTATGCACAAGTAGCACTATCGATGTATTAGACCAGACTAGACGTTTGCAGTGCGACGGTTTATAACTTTGTTAAATTTCTTCTGATTTTAATTTGTAAGTAAAATTTTATTATTTTTATTAATGATGAATTGCAAAAAGGCAAATGAAAAGCAACAGAAAACTNATTTATCTTAATTATGAAAATATAATAGCATGTTTTTTAATTTTTGGAACCTAACCCTCCTTTTCGTACTAGTTCTTTGTTTCGTATAACACGGCAATTTTTTGGAACGTAACTACTGTGTTATACGGGGGTTACCTGTATATATAATTCTAATATTTTTGACATTAATAAATGCTTCAGGATACTGTCTACAAATAGAAAAAAATTCATACCCAAGAACTATAATTCAAATATAGGTACTTTTACATTTTGTAAACATGAAAATACAAGAATTAGCAAGATAATTTAAAAATAAAATGTTTTATGATTTATTAAATTTTGTGAAAAATAAACAAGGCAGAAAGCTGTATATACGTTGTATTAATCTTTAAGTAATATTTGCCAGATGGCTGATGTACTTAAGGCATCAGCCTCACTCTGAAAATATGAGATTGAATTCAGGAAATTGTAAAACCTGGATATATTGAGTCTCATTCCTCTCTATGTGGCCATTGTGGGCCTAGTAGANGAGTGAGCTTTGAGCGTTCCACGATTTTTGGAGACTGTCTATACGCGGGCTTCCTAAACAAGCCTATATGTATGTTTGTCCAAGAAATTTTTGGATGAAATACAAACCGCACAACTTCAAAATCGCATAAAAATAATCTGCATAAAAAGAGACCTTACAGTATTCGAATATTAGTGGCGGAGTGGAAGCGCTGTATCGTCAGCATCCAGAAAGCCAGTTTCTCGCATTTGCTTTACAGAGCACCAACCTCACCCGGTTTAGCTGGTGGAAGCGTAGGACCTTGGGTGGATGCTACACGTATACCGCATCCAATTCTATCCAGGACCGGTTCTGGGCTGTTGGCCGCCCTCGCCCAATTACGTGAATCACGAGTAGATTTATAACTTAACCCAACCGATAAGAATTTACCTGTATATTTTTCTGATAGTTCTGTATAGTTGACAGGAGTTTTAAAAAATCCATTAAAATATTTGATATTTTATTCCGCTCTCCGATTTTATATTACTCACGGATTTTAATGTTAAACCAGTGATATTACGATTTCGTATATCCCATCTTTAAGGGAATGTAGAAAAAACGTATACAATTCTTGTATAGTGTTAAAAAAATAACTGTTACTTTGACAGCATCATTTACAACTAAATTTAATGAATGAGAGAGATGCGCGAGGTGCAGAAAAAGCTCTAGAATTTATTTTCCTTAAATTTACGATTTATGTATCCGTTTGTCATAAAAATTTGTCTTTCCACTTTTTCCCAAGACTACAAATATTCGAGTACAAAGTAACTGGTTTCGACTTATTTCTACTTAAGAAGTAGTTAAATAATTAAGCGCTTAGGGAATTGGGGACATAAACAAAACCCTGATGAAAGAACCGAAATTTTACTTAAACAAAGTAAAATTTCGAACCATCTCTAGCTGAGTACAGTTGGGACTGATTTCTTCGTAATATTAGACGTAATATAAACAGAAATTTTTCCAGTTCAATGAGAGTGACCGAAAAGTTGTAAATTTTGAAAATTTCTGAGGACACTTGGTCCTAAAACGAATTACTTAGTAAACAAATGACTATTAAGTTTAACAAATTTAGATTTTTACAATATGGTGAGAAACGTTTAAAATCCTCTTTATATACACTAGTATATCTAAAAGGACGCGACAGCCCTGTCGCGTCCTTTGAGATATACTAGTGATGCGACAAAAGAGGTACTGTATTTGACATTGACCGGTATCGGCACCCTGGGGATTTGGCAGTCCTCGTGTATGCACGCTCTCCAACCGTCTTCGATTCCATCCATTAGCCACTTGTAGGGAGCTATTTGACTAAGTGTATTGTTTTAAGATTTAAAAAGTAAAGAATATTTTATATTTTTATGTGCGTTTCTTTACAAAACTATATTTAATTATAATTTTCTTTAAAAGTATATTCATACAATTGAAGAATATTTTGTACCAGGTATGTACCGGTACATCCACCACACATTTTATTTCACCGAGTAAGTTTTTATTTTTAATTATTTTTAATTGTATTTTTAATAGCCCTTATATCGTGGTTAGCGATTCGGAATATAATTGTCATATTAAAAATGCATTTAGAGAAGTCTATGGTTTTTACTAGCTTATCGAATAAACGATACGAATGGACCCTAGACCAGGGGTGGCCAACAGTTTTTGCCCCCGGGCCGAATTGGAAAGAAAACTTTTTTTACGGGCCGAACCAGAGGCTGCCCTAAGAAGATTTTTAGGTGGTGCGAGATCTCATTGTGGTGTCATCCCGTAGAGACTAAATTGTACATAGAGATTACAGATACATTTTTCACATTATTATGCTTTACCAACATTCTACACCGTACTTACGAGATTTGTAATGGAGGGTTAACTCTAAACGCACAGTGAGTTGTTGACCTATTTTTTTTTTAAGCGTCAGAATTTTTCATCGAGCTATTCGGACTTGAGTAGCTAATATTGAAAGATTGATCGCGGGCCATATAAATTCATTAGACGGGCCGGATCTGGCCCGCGTGCCATATATTGGCCACGCCTGCCCTAGACCATCACTGACGCGCAATTGACTGATTGCCCCTGGATGTCGGCTTCTTACAGAAACACAGCTTCTCTATCATCAAATGTCACGGCACGGCAACAAGATATTTTTCCTCCACCTTCTGGTATTCTCTTGCTGCTACAGATTTTTCATAAGATTCCATTCAATATCAACACCATATTCGCCCAAATATCTCTAATGGGATCTGATGATCCCATTAGAGATATTTGGGCGAATATGGTGTTCTTGATTTTTCCACCTCCTTGTTTATATCTTTGCCGCTCCTTCATTTACCTCACCGTCCTCACATAGCACTCTTGGATTTTCCTCATTCAGTAGCTTCGTAAAATAATTCTTTCTTTTATCTTTTCTTTGGCCTTGTAGCACTTTATCATTCCCAGCTTTTAACTGTTTTATTAATGTGAAATGCTTTGATGCTTTGCTCGAATCCTTCTCTGTTCTCGAATGCCATCCCGAGAACTGAACTTTCTAGAACCGTTCTAGAACTAAACTTGAGTTTTTCGCAATACATTAAAAAACTGCGATTTTTATAACAAAAAGTGTTTATTAATAATAATTTATAATTATTAATTTATATCTTTTTTTTTTCAAACACTCTAATTTACATTTTTTAAAATATTTATTTTTTGACTAAATTTCAAGTAACGGTTTCCGGCGGTAAAGCTAAGAGTTATTGCCGCATTTTTATAAATTTTGTTAATATGTGGACTTAATTAAAGGTATGTTGCGGAGTATCGATTCTTATCTTCTTTCACCTCATGTGAGATACAGATTAATCAGTAATGGCTATACAACTGTTGAAGACATTGTCCATAATCCCGTTGAAGAAATATGTGAAGGTAAACCGAAATTACTGTACAACGTCTAGAAGCTAAAATCAAGTTCTGAAATAAACACTTTAATTTAAACTAGATGGCACTATTGTCACTAATATTCTTTACATGGCTCAATTCAAGAAATTAAAGGTTGGATAGGACTGCATTTTTTGTCCTCCTTCAATCCAACTTCTTAAGGACTTCCCATGTAATGTCATGTTCAAGATAATATTTCATAACATTAAAAAAAAATTGCCTGAAGCATTACTATTGCCTGAAATGCGTATTGCTATATGAAAGAGCACCTCTTGTTGAATGTGGCTTCTGGAAAAAACTACTACATAAGTTTTATTGAATAAAAAAATATATACTACATATGTACTGCCTAAACTGGTTAAAGAAGCCAAATTTTTATTAGATTAAACATTTTTTGAGACTCCTGTTCCATCATCAGATTCCCAGGACATCCAAATTGGGAAAATTCAAACAAAACATTTTTAAAGTTCCTTTTAACATTTGAGAGGAAATTTAAATATTAGAACAAAATTATCTATTCAGTTCAACACACGTAAAATTTTGGCTCCTTAATTTAATTAATCAGTTTAGCAATTGTTTACTTATTTTTTAGTATATTAGTCATATGACACTTCTCTACAGCTAGTGTAGATCAGTGGTTTTCAACGTTATCAATCTGTGAGCTTACACTAAATCACAAATGAACTGCAGAATACCTATGCCTGCTTGCTTCTTATCCTGTAAATATTACCTTAATGATATATTGAATGCCAAAATATTTTGTCTATCTAGTAATCTAATGTTAGTAATATGTGATGCAAGAAAGTGTTCTTTTTTTCTTGCTATAAACAACATAGAATTGCAGTAGTAGTGGTTTGGGTCATACTGATCACAAAATTAATTTTCTAATTACAAATTTAAATTAAATTAATTTTATTTTAACAATAAGACAAAGTTTTTGTATTAATTATTAAATGTTTTAATATCCGAGAAAATTAAAACACAATTGTATGAAATAATATAACCAAAACAAAATTATTATTGAAATTTCTTTATTTTTACATTAATAGATTAAATTAATTTATTTTATTTAAGCTTTTCCAGTTTTTTCATTCGGTTTATCTAAAGCAAGATATATTTCTACACGTAATAAATTTAAAATTAATTTTTCAGGATATAAATTATTTTCAGATCAAAAATTTCTCGAGTAAATTAAGATTATAAATAATTTTAATATTTAGGAAACTTTTCAATTGATTTCATTTCTTTACTTTTCATAAAATATCTTGTAACAATAAGGCAAAGTTTCTGTATTAATCTAATATATAATCGAGACGGGTTGATAATAATAATAATAACTCTTTCGTGGTCACCACCTGGTCGTGGTGGGAGAGCCCAGTAATTTTACTGAACCGTAGAGCAATGCAGGCTGGAGCACAAGCTCCTGGTAGAGACACCCATGCCAGTAAGGTCTATGGGGAGAAATGAAGCTAAGAGTGACCACACCCACATTCTGTGGAGATAATTATTATGGTAGTAACCAGATCAAAGTGTGATACCGGCTCGGACGTCGCCCGGGTTAACAAGNCTTTTTATAAATTTTGTTAATATGTGGACTTAATTAAAGGTATGTTGCGGAGTATCGATTCTTATCTTCTTTCACCTCATGTGAGATACAGATTAATCAGTAATGGCTATACAACTGTTGAAGACATTGCCCATAACCCCGTTGAAGAAATATGTGAAGGTAAACCGAAATTACTGTACAACGTCTAGAAGCTAAAATCAAGTTCTGAAATAAACACTTTAATTTAAACTAGATGGCACTATTGTCACTAATATTCTTTACATGGCTCAATTCAAGAAATTAAAGGTTGGATAGGACTGCATTTTTTGTCCTCCTTCAATCCAACTTCTTAAGGACTTCCCATGTAATGTCATGTTCAAGATAATATTTCATAACATTAAAAAAAAATTGCCTGAAGCATTACTATTGCCTGAAATGCGTATTGCTATATGAAAGAGCACCTCTTGTTGAATGTGGCTTCTGGAAAAAACTACTACATAAGTTTTATTGAATAAAAAAATATATACTACATATGTACTGCCTAAACTGGTTAAAGAAGCCAAATTTTTATTAGATTAAACATTTTTTGAGACTCCTGTTCCATCATCAGATTCCCAGGACATCCAAATTGGGAAAATTCAAACAAAACATTTTTTAAAGTTCCTTTGAACATTTGAGAGGAAATTTAAATATTAGAACAAAATTATCTATTCAGTTCAACACACGTAAAATTTTGGCTCCTTAATTTAATTAATCAGTTTAGCAATTGTTTACTTATTTTTTAGTATATTAGTCATATGACACTTCTCTACAGCTAGTGTAGATCAGTGGTTTTCAACGTTATCAATCTGTGAGCTTACACTAAATCACAAATGAACTGCAGAATACCTATGCCTGCTTGCTTCTTATCCTGTAAATATTACCTTAATGATATATTGAATGCCAAAATATTTTGTCTATCTAGTAATCTAATGTTAGTAATATGTGATACAAGAAAGTGTTCTTTTTTTCTTGCTATAAACAACATAGAATTGCAGTAGTAGTGGTTTGGGTCATACTGATCACAAAATTAATTTTCTAATTACAAATTTAAATTAAATTAATTTTATTTTAACAATAAGACAAAGTTTTTGTATTAATTATTAAATGTTTTAATATCCGAGAAAATTAAAACACAATTGTATGAAATAATATAACCAAAACAAAATTATTATTGAAATTTCTTTATTTTTACATTAATAGATTAAATTAATTTATTTTATTTAAGCTTTTCCAGTTTTTTCATTCGGTTTATCTAAAGCAAGATATATTTCTACACGTAATAAATTTAAAATTAATTTTTCAGGATATAAATTATTTTCAGATCAAAAATTTCTCGAGTAAATTAAGATTATAAATAATTTTAATATTTAGGAAACTTTTCAATTGATTTCATTTCTTTACTTTTCATAAAATATCTTGTAACAATAAGGCAAAGTTTCTGTATTAATCTAATATATAATCGAGACGGGTTGATAATAATAATAATAACTCTTTCGTGGTCACCACCTGGTCGTGGTGGGAGAGCCCAGTAATTTTACTGAACCGTAGAGCAATGCAGGCTGGAGCACAAGCTCCTGGTAGAGACACCCATGCCAGTAAGGTCTATGGGGAGAAATGAAGCTAAGAGTGACCACACCCACATTCTGTGGAGATAATTATTATGGTAGTAACCAGATCAAAGTGTGATACCGGCTCGGACGTCGCCCGGGTTAACAAGGTTTGTGTTCATGGGTTAGGCAGAGGCTCACATTCGAAAAATAGGCCACAGTCTCCCTTGGTTACCGGTGGCAAAAGCAACGCCGGCCCAAGCATGGCTACTGCAATGCCCTCACCAGATGTGAGGAATCAACCTAGTGTGAGGGTCAAAAGAAGTGAGGAAGTTTATAGATAATATAATAGGTTCAAAAAGAAGCTAAAAATTTTAGAGAAAATAATATTTTGAACTTCACGAAGATAAAATCTTCGTGAAGTTTAAAATATTATCAAAACGGAGGAAACAGCAGAATTTGAAAGGAAGTTGATTTCCTTTCCCAGGCGAACTGTTGATGAGTTGATAATTTTGCACACGGTGCAGAAGAACCAATAAAAGGGCAGTTTTCGCGCCACTCGAGGCAGCAGTCCGTTAGAGGAAGCTCTTGCCATATGTACAATACAATACCTCCGAAGCAGTTCATAAAGAAGAGACAATTGCCATACTAAGGAGAATATGTAAGAAGTTTAGACATACGATATAAGGCAGTCCAATAAAAGGGAAAGGCCATACGAAGAAACCAGCTATTGATAGGAGACGAACTCTTATAAGAATATGAAATACAGGGTTAAGTAAGGAAGAGAATCCTTGAAGAAGAAAGCATACAAGGGGAAAGATGTTAACGACCTACAGGTGAAGGTAATATTGGAAATAGATTGATGTAAACTCTCTCTCTCGAAAACGCTCCCATAGAATAAGCATAGGTTTACTTTTAGTATTAGAGTATTAGATTGTTGTATGAATTTATCTATTTAGTTTTATTAAATATTTGTTTATTTGTTAAGAAATGTCTCTGCCGTCTTTTCGATCAACTGTCATTTTGCATGCATCCTACGTGTGTTAATCCGCGTGTGATAAATTCGATTAACTGGTGTCATAGGAATCCTGACGTGGGATAGAGACTTTGCCGTCTATATCCTATTTAACATTTAACAGCCCTCCTAGAAAAGATTTAAGATCGGATCTTTCGATCCGAAACTACGAGAACTAGTTTTACCAACTAGCGCCGATTAAGTGGTACTAACTATCCTAGTGGAGTAGTACCCCAGGCAATTCTCACACTAGCCTTGGTGTTTCTGTGGCAATGCATCCACAGACCACAAAGGCTGGAAAACCATGCCAACGGATGAAATGGACAACAGAAATAAACAAGTTTATCATCCGTACTTACTACACCATCACAAGACTCGAAACAAACATGACAGCATACAGACAACAACTACACCATAGATTCACACAACAATATCCTCACCTAACTGTCACTGAACAAAGGGTTGTTGATCAAAAAAGAACAATTATACACAACAACCTTATCCCACAAACAACACTTGAACTTATCAAACAACAGGTTGCTGATCAAATACATCAACAGACAGAAACATTTAACATTAAT